ACCAAGCATGTTTTAAAGTAAATACCCATTGAAACAAGTCCTTTATGAAATTAATATGCTCATACTGTACAATATTCGTCGTCAGGTAACTCACATGTATAAAGCAACTAATTTCCAATCATGAAGCAAATACATGCCCAGAAACGCACTTACGGCAATTTTTGCATGTCCAACAAATAATTCCAAACATATGCTGTTAATCACACATATATTTGGGCCAACAATTCATGAGAAAGAATTTAAACAAACATCACGCGTGAATTTCTTATAACTTTGATTACAACTATTTCAATCAATAAACGGCTATATGATCGCAACCTTTAATCGGAAAAATAATTAAGCATAAACACATGCTCTGATATCACATGTAAGAAATTTAACGGGTATAATCATAACTATTAGGCGAAATTGAATAAACCCTAAGCATGTAATTCTATCAATTCATAGAATATGGATATTTGTATTAATTAAATTGCACATAGAACTTACAAGAATCCAGCTTATAGTTCTTCCCTGTTTTCTTCATCTATGATGTTAATCTACGATCCTCTTTCTCGTAATCTTCAAGGATGGGTTCGTTTTTTCCTATGAATTGCTTCTCTCTCCCGCGTCTCTCGTCTTTGCATAAAGCCCTTGATGTTGAGAACTTTATTTCGTATGAGCCGAAAGGGAGGGGCATGTAGTAATATATATAGGAGGAGACCTACAATCCTAATCCTACTAACATTCCCCATGTTCTAACCTAACTTACTGTCCAAGTCAAACATCACAAATTGGACCCTTTAATAGTAGAACATTAATAATCCATTAAATACATATTCACCTTAATTAAGTTTGACTATTAATTTAATTAGGTCCAACTTATTATATGGCCCACAATAATAGAATAATACAAAATATTATTACACATTAAGCTCATGGAATAGACACACAAGAGCACATAAGTCTCCCAACGTGCATAAAACGCCTCTCTCTCTCTCTCTCTCTCTCTCTCTCCGTTCTCTCTTTAGAATTCCATTCGAGCTTTATCTTATTCTTTTTGCTCCACTGGTACAAGTTGAAGAGGTGTAAGAGTGATACAGTAGAAGATCCCGAATGTAATCGAGACACCGTGATCATCTATCGGAGCCGACGAACCACGACCCGCCGCCGTGATCCACCAACCCCGACGACCGCCAACCGCCGCGATGAGCCCAATGCCGATCACGACCAGTCGACGGCCACCCCGCGACGAACCGACAATCACCGCAGCCATCCGACGAGCCTGAGCCAGCGATCCCGCCCCGTTCGTTTGTGTTCTGGCTTCCGATGTGCTATTCACGGTCATCCCGAATCCGACAGATTCAGAAAATTTTAAGTCGTAAGTTTTCTGCGTTAAACTTTTAGATCTGCTGGGCATAAGTTTACATTTGCTATTGAATTCATGATTTGTATATAACGAGATCCTCATAGATCCCAACACCCTCAAGAGAGCATCCCGCTCTTCCTCGGAACTCTTTCATTCATATAGATGTTTGGCTTATTACACTTAAGAATTATACAGAAGACTCCCTCTTCTAAACCTACCATGTAATTACTCATACAACTACTTTTCCGACCACAAATCCCTTGTGCATTTTTTAACACAAATCCCTTGTGTGATACTAAATGTTCATCCTAAAACCTTATTCAATATCAGTAAACAATAATGCTCAGGAAGATCAAGACAGCCTCTTGTCTTCTCTCTCAATAAAACTTAATAAAACTTTGAAAGCACAATCAGAGCACACACCTCTCACTCTATTGTCATCAATACATAATCTCTAAAAGAAATTAATCATTTACACTTGAGAGAACATGTGTTATATACAACTACAAAAATGGTAAGTCCCCTCCAATTTTGTCTTCTCCTAAATTAGTTGTGTCCTCAATCGCAAGTCAACTCCAACATGGTAAGTTCTTCACAAGTCTAGCAGCTGCATAATTATGGTAAGTGGATTTCCATGCATCCGCGTATATCTTGCATGGTGATTCCTTGTCCATGATCGGCTGCTCAACCCTTCCTTGATTTCCATGATTCTCTACAACCAAATAAATAAATTAAAAAAAATCTAATATCAAGGAATAAATAAAATAAAAACATTACACTTCCATTTTGTTTATTATTTAGTCCAGTAGGCCATGTAAGTTCCAAGTGTGGATTGGAGTTTGATGATTTAGTGCCAAGCCGAACACAGTTTTATACATAACAATATCCTTAAAAAAGTCTATCGCCTCTCTCTTCTGTCGCTCTAAAAACAAAGAAAACAGAGGACAATTCGGCTGTCTCCCTCCTCCTATCGGCCAATTGTTGCGACCTCAGTGTTGGCCTCAGCTGAGTTGAGGCTGGAGGGCTCATTTCCTTGATTTCCATGATTCTCTACAACTAAATAAATAAATTAAAAAAAATCTAATATCAAGGAATAAATAAAATAAAAACATTACACTTTCATTTTGTTTATTTTTTAGTCCAGTAGGCCATGTAAGTTTCAAGTGTGGATTGGAGTTTGATGATTTAGTGCCAAGCCGAACACAGTTTTATACATAACAATATCCTTAAAAAAGTCTATCGCCTCTCTCTTCTGTCGCTCTAAAAACAAAGAAAACAGAGGGCAATTCGGCTGTCTCCCTCCTCCTATCGGCCAATTGTTGCGACCTCAGTGTTGGCCTCAGCTGAGTTGAGGCTGGAGGGCTCATTTCCGCTTCTTCTGGAGCTCTACGTGAGATATTGGTCGGAAATGGCTCTCGCCGAACTGCCTTTCACTCCCATTGAGGTTGGGGTCGCCGACCTAAATGTCTAGCCTGCAGCCTTAGGAGTCCACAGGCCCGTTGATGCTCTCGTCGCGGCCACCTACCTCTTTCGGTCTTGAAGACCTTCGGAGCAAAGATCTTGATTGAGAATTGTGTCTTCTTTAGATCTATCTAGCGGTTCAAGTTTGACCATAGGTTTTGAGTCTGGAGTCTCTGTTTGCTGTTGTATTGGACTTCTTTCCTCCAGTACTGTGTGACTCCGTTGCCGGTTCGGTTGGTCGTTCGGTTTGCCTGCTAGGTCTAGGGGAGGTGTTATTGTACTTGTTTTTATTCAGTGTGCATCGTTTTGTTTTTCTCTTTAATTGTTTGTCGTTTTGTTTAGTCCAGCAGCCTCTGCTTTATAGTCTCCTTTATTGAGTTGATGTCCTCTTTATGGAATTTTTGATTAGCGGTTGGTAGTATCTCCTTGATGGAGTTTGTACCCCCTTTGTCATCTGGAGGTTGTTCTAGAGATTGTTTTGGTTCTAATGATGTTTGTGTCCGTTGACACAACTGTACTCTTTTGAGTTTTCAAACTATTAATATAATTGAAGTTTGACAAAAAGAAGAAAAAAAAAATCAGAATCAACTTGTGTTTTTCGTCATTTTTTTTTTTAAATTAGTTGTACAATGATTATTTACAATAGAGTCTTATGTCATCTAAATTTCCTATGCACTCAAAACAAATTTTATCTTTGTAAAAAATTCTTTTTAAAATAATTATTAACGAGTTTTTTATACTTTAATTAATGAGATACAAAAAGTTTATTTAACCATAAGACTTGCACAACCATACATGTTATTTTTTTATTTTTTTTTGTTAAGAATCTATCATTATATAAAAAGATTAACCATTTAACAATTTTAGCAGTTATTTCCCGCCAAATACATTTAATGCCTACTAAATATAGATTTTCGGACATTATTAATCTGTTGGCCTTCAAACTCGGACCTAACAATTTGATCTCTTATGATTTTGAATAGCTATCCTAAAAGATATTTATTTTACAAATATAAAGATAAAGATTATTTTACAAATAAAAATTCTAAAGAAGTATTTGATTTACCATACTCTTTAATTGTTATGTTGGCCTTCAATCTCGGACCTAATAATTTGATCCCGTATGATTTTGAATAGCACTCCTAACAGATATCTATTTTACAACAATAAAGATAATGATTATTATACAAATAAAAATTCTAAACAAGATTAACTGAATTCTTATGATTGCTATCTTATTTTAAAATAATTTAGGTTATAGTTTTAGTTTATTTTTTTAATTTTTAGCAGCCGCATTGTGTAGCTGTTGTTTTTCATTTCATTGAGTAGAATAAGCAGCATTAGAGCTGCAAATGAACGCTTGCAAGTATTATTATTTGAGAACTTGGTTCGAAATTTTTAATAGTATATTGGAATATTACTTATTTTTATATATTTTTTAGTTTATTTCAATTATTAGCTATCACAATACATATTACTTATTCATACATTACAATATACATTGAATACCGATTTTTCGAATATTTAATTTATACTTATATAAAGAGCCATCTCATTTATTAGAATTAGTAGAAAGAAAAGTCAAAAGTAATCAATGCATTCTATTTCTATCAATTAATTTTTATTTAATTATTTTTTCCCATAAAATCGGTACAAAAAATAAATGTACGTAAAATAAAAAAAAGGCATATTTGATCGGAAGATAAAATCTTGATTTTACAAAAAATAAATCAGATATCAAGCCTAAATTGAAGGGTTTGATTGTCTATATAGATATTGATTTACGTAAATCAATACATCTAATATTTATAGTTTGTGTCCTTCTTATCTTTGTACAAAAAATCTTTTCTAATTGTATGGAAAATCTGATCTAAGTGATTTCTGTATATCAAAATTTTTTCTTAAAAATCTTAACAGATATTGATTCTACTCTACTAATTATAAATTATAAATCTCAAAATATTGAGTCATCGTCTTCCTCACTTCAATATTTCATTCAAAATAATGAATTAAGAATTTAGCTTAATCAAACAAGTTAATAGGTCTCTCATCCAATACTTCTTATTGTACAATTTTCCTACGTATTATAAAATTTTAGTTAATATTGCATCTTATAATATAATATTACCCAAATAAATATATGTCGTGCCTCGCACGGGTCACGTACTATATATATCCCGTATATTTTTTTTTATTCATGTATATAATTATAAGCTTGGATAAATAGCCTTAAAATTGTGCACCACGTGCATCGCACGGGCTCTGCACTAGTTAACAAGGAATAAACAGAAGAGTTTGTTGGAACGACTTGAGATTGAATTTAAAGAAGATAGAAGACCATTCAAAACTTCCGTATCGAGAATTTGTTTACAATATATATACAACATATGCAAACAGTGACTTCACTAAAAGACGAGTCCCTACTCCCTAAGACACCGATACCAACCAACACTACTTAGGAGGAGATTGCAAAGAAAAAATAAAATAAAATAGTCAAATATATAAGGTCATGTTTGGTTGCGCATTCGGGAGCCCCAAGTCGTTCTCCCGCAGGAATTCCTATTCCCTCCCATTCGCTTGAGCGCATCCAGTTGTGATTCCCACCTGCTTTTCCATTCCTCTTTTCCCTTCATTTCCTGAAAAAACAAATCCAATAATAAATAAGAAAAATTGGGAAACAAACAATTAATTTATATATGAACGAATATACGACTATATTTTGACTTTTGAACAATATTTTATGTTTTATTAAAGGGAATATCCACGATAATAATCGGTAAAACCGTAATTCATGAGTAATAAGTGATTATATATATTCATTTTTAGTCAGGTTGATTTAACGCCATACTAATTTTAATTATGAGATAATAACATTTCGTCTTTTAGTCCTGTAATTTTGATATTTGCTAATTTTAATTATTTGAAGACTAAAATTGCAACAAATTTTCGATTCTATCTCTGGGATGAATTTTTTAATAGCAATTTAATCTTTGTAATTTAAAATTTTATTGTAACTTCAGTAATACAATTTAAAATTTTGTTGTAATTTCAAATTTTTAAAAACTAAAACTGCAACAAAGTTTTAAAATAGAGGAACAAAAAGCGAAAAATTAGAACTTTGAGACTAAAATTGCTATAGAATTAAACCAATATGACTAAAAATTTATTTTTGCCCTTTTGCCTTATATATATACCTTGTGAGCATCTTTTTCTTTTTTCTTTTTACTAACTAAAAGGAAAGGAAAAAAAACAAAAGAGAAAAAATTGAATATATTATTTACCTGATTACGTGGGCCCGATTTTCCATAGGCAAAACCAAAACCGGTGGCCAAACCCCGGTCGTAGGAAGCCCTGGAATTGGGGTCGGACAGGGTCTCGTAGGCCTCGTGCACCAGAATAAATCGGCGCGTGTACTCGTCCACGCGCTCCGGTGGGGACACATCTGGGTGGTACTTACGCGCCATCTGCTTGTACGCTCTCTTGATATCCGACATCGTGCTCCCGTTCTCTGCTATTCCCAAAACCTCGTACAGTGTCTCCGCCGTCTCGGACGGCGGCGCGTAGAAGGACACTACCCGGGCCGGTCTCCGGGCTCTGGATGAAATTTTTGATTTTGAAACCTTAGAGGAGAAAGATATGGCGGAAATGCGATGTGGGATTGGTTTTTTGTTGAGTTTCGTGGATAAATACAGGCTTTGTTGGGCGCTTGACACTACTTTCGAACTCATACTTTTTTTATCTCTTGAATTTTGGCTGTGTGTTTTTCTTTTTTGTTTGTGATATTGCTCTCTATCTGCTGCGTCCGCGTATTTATGGGGAGAAAAACAGTGATGCGGATCTGAATTGACATATCTATGTGCCTGTGTGGATAAGTTTTCTAGAAACATGTATTGCAGCCGTGGGATAAGAAAAAGTGTTTTATTTTATATTTTATTTATTTTTCGCGATGTAATCAGTGTACGAACTGTGATACGTAAAGCTGAGCTGTACCTTACCCATATATCTGTGGGTAATAATACCGTTGTCCAATTTCCATTTTTCATTTTCGGCTCACCCGACGAACCGTTGCGTGATAAAATTTGCATTTTTCCTTCACAAGGTTCTGACCGTCCACCAACGCCATATACCTTTTCCAAAGTTTTGTTATTCGTCGAACTGTTGGTTTCATATCAAATTCAAATTGTGCCATCACACTCACACACTTGTCTCCAAAACAAACACCAGCCTTACATATATAGAGTGGATAATGATTTGCAATATTAATTATTTAATTTTGAATCAGCGGCCAGCCAAAACACCTAACCAAATCATTTAACCGGTAAACAACTGCATTTAATTCTCGAAGACTTTTTCATTAATACTAGTACAGAGCCCGTGCGATGCACGGGGTGCACAATTTTAAGACTATTTATCCAAGCTTATAATTACATACATGAATAAAGAAAATGTACGGGATATATATAGTACGTGACCCGTGCGAAACATGGGATATATTTATTTGGAGAATATTATATTATAAGATGCAATATTCAATAAAAGTTTATAATACGCAAAAAAATTGTACAATATTCAATAAAAGTTTTATAATATTCAAGTGGAGTCTTAAAGTCTCTTGTACATTAAGACTACTGACAAAATAATATTTTAATCAATAAGTTTCCTTTGCTTGTAGCCAAATTGTGAATGTGATTTGAGGAGTACAACAAATCGATATATAGCTGACTTGCTTTTTTCATTGTATTTTTTTTTTTTTTTTAATGATTTAAAGATATTCTAAAATATAGCAAAAATTAATTTTTTTTATTTCAATTAGGAATTTTACTAAATATAAACTCTCAATCTATGGTGTTAATCAACGTTTAAGTCTAAAAAATTAGGAATTTTTACCTCTTTTAATCAACGTTTAAGTCTAAAAAACAATAGAGTTATTATAAGTTTTTTTCTACATCTTTTAAAACATTAAATATGAGCATGTTAGGGCTAGCTTGTAAAATAATTAATATATTATCTCACTAAAACATTTATACTAATAAAAATTTAATTTTAGCATATAAATTTATCCCTTGATATAAGAGAAAGTAACAGTTTTACTTATTGTTGTTCACCATATAATATTTAATTATTATTTTATTATATAATAAAAAAAAGAATATTGTTAAATAGTATAGTAGAATTGTTATAAAATTATTTGATTTTTTTTTTTACATTATGGATTTAATATTTTTTTATGATTTGATAATATAAACAAATCTATACTTAACTTTGACAAATAAAACAAATAAATACTTTAGTAAGTATTTAATGTATATACTAAATAGAAATATATATGGTATAATCAAATACCAAATATAATCAAATAAGTCAAAGTGTACATTTTTATTTGGTATTTGATTTTGTTATTATTAAAATCTTTTTATTATACTTACCTTTTTAAAATAAAACAAATAAATAAATCAATTAAATAAATAAAATATTATAATACCAAAATAATAATGGCATTTAATGCAGTTGACTTTTCTGGATAAAAAATGTAGTAAATAGAATCTCCTTTTATATAAGTATAGATATGATATTATGTTGCTCAAAATAGTAATGCATTTAGTGCATTGACTTTTCAACTTACTAAATTTCGTAAATGGTACACCTTATTATATAAGTATAGATGCCTAACAATTTTTTATTTCCAAAAATAACAATAAAAAAATAGGAAGACTTACTCAATCATTCAGACCGTGTATACTTAACTTTAAATTAATCTTATTATCCTAAATGTTATCAATATAATTAAATAATATCAATCAATTATTCTAATTTCTAACACATCACATCAACTTTAATTCAATCATATAATTTTAAACATATATCATTTTCAATCATTTATCTCTCACCATTACATCAAATCAATTTTAGCCATTTTATTTTAAATATTATTTTAATATCCAACTAAAAATTAAACAAATCAACTTTTGTAACGTCCCGAATATTTTTAGTATTTATGGAGCTCGACTTTATTTCCATAAATAACAAGTTTCCTTATTTGATGCACTTATTTATTATTATTTGCATTAAATTAAGTATTAAATTCCAGTGTTCTAAAAGTCGCTAGGCGCTCGACCAGCGGCTAGTCGGGGCCCAGAAATCAATATTAAATGCCTTATTTTTTTATTTATTTTAACTATCTACAAAATAAAACTATCTCAAATTATAATAAATTCACACACTAAAGTCCAAATAATAATATTAATATATATTAAAGAAAACATGAGAACAAAATAATGTAATTAGTATTTAAAAAAATAAAAAAAAAACTGAAAAATTGTCGCCTAGGAGCGCCTAGGTCCGCCTACACCCGCCTAGACACCGCCTAACCGCCTGGCCGCCGAGCCCGCCAAGCCCACCTACGAGCGCCTAGCCGCCTGGCTGATTTTTTCTGCCGATTTGTATAAATCGGAGCGCCCGGGCACCGCCTAGCGTCTAGGCGCCGCCTAGGCGGATTTTTAGAACAGTGTTAAATTCTAAGTCTAAGCCATGGAGAATTTGTTCCATTTTTAATTTTACAAATAGAATTTATTTAGCTTAAGTGTCAGTTTTATTTTTAAGATGAATCCGAGCTTTAGAAAAATAAGAATTTTATTTAAGTCGGGTCGAAGCCGGACGAGCCGAACCTCGACCCAAACTCAAGCCCATATAATTCGGCCCATTAAGCCCAATAGCCAAGCAATTTAATTTTCGAGCCCAATAGAAAATTCCGAGCCAAATTTAATTCGGCCCAAGCATTTTATTTAAGCCCAAGACCTTTACTTTTATTTAGTTGGCCCAAGTTATCTAGCCAAAATTTACTAAGTTCAAGTATTTAGTTCATTAAAGCCCAACACCATTTAATTGATTTTGCCCAAATTATTTTAGTCTAAGCCCAAGTGATATGGTCCAAGTCCAATCATTATTTTGACCAAGTCCTACTTCATTTCATTATATCATATTTCCTATGTTATGAAATATTTCCTAAATCTTGAGATATTTTCCTAAGTCTTGAAAATAAGGTTGATTAGTCTTCCAAGTTCAAGACAAAATTTGAATTGGTCAAATGCCAACCACCATGCATTTAATGTTTAGTGTACTTGATGGGACAAAGGGAGAATAGGCCAAAGTTCTCCCACCTACCATGTTCCCTCCAAACCCTAATTCCATGTGTCTATATATACACCTCTTCATCCATCTAGCCTCATTTCCCCAACTCATCTCATTTCATTCTCCCACCACTCCATATTTACCTAAGCAAGAAAAAATGCCTAACTAGCTCGCACTATGTAGATTCGGCCCTCGCACCATATTTACCTAAGCAGGAAAAAATGCCCATGTAGATTCGGCCCTCACACCAACGAACCGAGCCTCAACCGAGCTAGCCCTAGCCTCCTAGCACCAACCGAGCCCTTTTGGTTCAGCCCAAGCACACCGTGCTCACGCCCAGCCCTAGCTCGCATGCCCTTGCTCTTAGCTCGTCCAACACGCCAGACCCGCGCACCTCCAAGCGCCCCAGGATAGCCAGCAGCTTCTATTTGTCCCATTTTTGTTGTATTTTTTTGTTGTTATTTTGTCTTATTTTTTCCCCCATATTAGGTCTTTTAGTTGGTTTTTAGTTTGTTTTGTAGTTTATTATGTGTTTTGCTCTATTTTGGTTTTTTTGTGTTTTTCGTGTATTTTGTCGGTTTTCTATGTTTTTCTTCTTGTTTTATGTGTGCAAGTCGAAAGCCCCATGAGAATGGATTTAGCAAGAAATCTGAGTCAGCAAGCATGGTTGAGTAGAAGGACTCGTTAACTACATTTAGGAAGAAGCGGAACTCGATTTCGAGTTCAGACGAATTCGAACGGGGCCGAAACGTAAAGTCCAGCAAGCTGCCGACCCTTTGAAGGTTGGAAAACTCTAGAGGATTGTACTATTGGCAAAATTTGGTCATGAAAGCATCATTGAATAGAGGGGTTCGTTAGCGATGCGTAGGAAAAAACAAAACCCAATTCCGAGTTCGGACGAGCCCAAACGAGCCCCAGAAGCAAAATAGTGCTGGGAGCAAACAGCCAGCGCCGCGGCGCGAGCAACCTCCGCGGCACGACACAGCTCTTCACCACAGCCTGAAGCATCCTCCGCGGCACGTCACGACCTTTCTCCGCTCCGAGGAGCCTCCGCGACCCCGACAGAGACTTCCCAGCACCGCGCCGTGCCATCCCTCGCGCCGCGGTGCCCACTCCCCTCGCGCCGTGCTCGGATTTTCCACGCCGTGTCACCTAATCCTATATATATGTACGGGACTTCGATAGTAAATCAATTCTCCCCTTATGGGGATGAACCCTAGCCCGTAAAAAACACGAAACTCCTTTCTCCTTCTCTTCTTCTTCTTCTTCATGTTTCTTCTTCTCTTCACGAAACTCCTTTATATTTTTAGGTAGATTATTGTTTTTATATTATTTCTTAGTTGGTAATTATTCTACCCCCATCCTGATTAGAGTGTTTATGATTTATTTTCATTTTTTGTGTTATCATTACCAATTCTAAATTCTGAACCGCCTTCCTCGAGAGATCTACTCGGGGAACGAATCATTTGATTCGGTACTCGGTAAAAATAACAATTTGTGCTACAACAGCTTCCCAGCGGCACGCCCAGCAGCAGTCCAGCTCCCAGCGTGCGCGTCCGCAGCTTCCCAGCGCACGTGTCCGCAGTCCACGTGTAACACTCCAAAGATTTTTAAAAGAAAATTTCAGACTTTTCCAAAATTCATAGTTAAATTTCGAAATTCATTTTTCGATTTTAAAACATTTAACGGCGTTACTGATTCATCATCATATATAGCTCAAGTTATATTAGAGCATACAGGAATTCATTATCTAATTTAGCACATAAGATCTCATTATCTAAATCATCATATTCATTTCATCATAACATAATCAAGTCATCATATTAAATACCTCATCATCGAGTTCAAAACCAAATCATCAGGTTCAACATGTCATCATAAGATTTCAAAA